GGGCCGGCGGCAGCAGCAGGGCGCCCGACGAGGGGCAGGTGAGGGCGGGACTGGCGCTGGGAGCTGGAGCAGGTGCCCCGGGGCTGGAGCAGGTGCCCCGGGGACGGGNGGGCCGGCGGCAGCAGCAGGGCGCCCGACGAGGGGCAGGTGAGGGCGGGACTGGCGCTGGGGGCTGGATGGGGTGCCCCGGGGACGGGGGGGGCAGGTGAGTGCGGGGCCGGGGCTGGGGGCTGGAGCAGATGCCCCGGGGGTGGCGCTGGGGGCTGGATTGGGTGCCCCGGGGACGGGGGGGGCAGGTGAGTGCGTGGCCGGGGCTGGGGGCTGGATGGGGTGCCCCGGGGACGGAGGGGGGGGCAGGTGAGGGCGGGGCCGGGGCTGGGGGCTGGATGGGGTGCGCTGGGGGCTGGATTGGGTGCCCCGGGGACGGGGGGGGCAGGTGAGTGCGGGGCCGGGGCTGGGGGCTGGATGGGGTGCCCGGGGGACGGAGGGGAGGGCAGGTGAGGGAGGGACCGGCGCCGGACAGGGACCTGCGTGTAGCCTGTCGCTGTCCCTCCGCAGGGGCGAAAGCCGTACCAAGGCCCCTGCAGTCCACCTACCCCAGGCCCGGCCGCCTGCAGCGCTACCTGTGCAGCGGGGAGTTCGACCAGCTTTGCGACTTCCCCATGTTTGAGAGCAACTTTGTCCAGGTGCCGGTCCAGCGGCAGCCCTTACCCCCAGCGAGTGACTCCCCCCAGCCTCCGCACCCCATCCTCATCTGAGACTCAGACCTCGGAACCTGCTTCCCCCGGCCCCTCCCCCCATGATCGTGACCTGTGACCCTCCGCCTCCAGGTTACTCGATTCGGAGAGGTAGCCAACAAGGTGACCATGGGCGTGGCAGCCAGCAGCCCGGCCCTGGAACTGCCCGACATCCTGCTGCTGGCCGGGCCTGTCCCGGGGAAGGGGGGCCTACAACTGTTTGAGTGAGGACCCCCCAAAAACCCAAACCCCGCTCCGGTCGGGCTCACCTAGGGAGGGGAGGAGATGGCCTGACCCCCATGGGCACTACTTCCCTGATATACCCCCAGCCCTCAGCTTCTGGGCTCGAAGGCTCAAGGCAGGAAGACCCCACCGCAATCCTGCTGTCACTCTGGCTCTCAGCCTCAGTCTCCCTGTCTGGAAGATGCCTTGCCAGGTAGCTTGTGAGGCTCAGGAGGCAGCCAGCCTAGGTACTGTAGTCAGGTGCTTTATCCTGGGAGGCCCCACTGAGGAAGCGGCCGTCAGCGGGACGGTCAGCGTCCTGACCCATCTAACCCCTTTCGCTGATGGCGGATTCTCAGATACAGTCTGCACCCCCCCACCCCCCACCCCCCCCAAGTCTTCCTGCCTGATAGCCTCACAGTGGGTGCTCTCTAGCTATCACACGGTCCCTTCTAAAATGAGCTGGCCACGAGGGGTGTCATAGTAGTGCTGAGCCTGGAGTCGGGAAGACTCATCTCCCCGAGTTCGAATCCAAGCCCAGACACTAGCTTTGAGACCCTGAGCAAGTCACTTCACCCCGTTTGCCTCAGTTTCCTTATCTGTAAAATGAGCTGGAGAAGGAAATGGCAAACCACTCCAGTATCTCTGCCAAGAAAGCCCCACATGGGGTCACGGAGAGTCAGGACTGAAATGAGTAAACAAAAGCCTTGGAGGAGTTCCTAACGGGGACGGTCAGACTGGGGAGATGGCCTGCCGACAGCCATATGCAACCAGGATCACCAGGAGCTGAGCACTGAGGGGAATTGGGAAAGGCCGCTCGTGGGGTGGGAGGGGAGGAGGGACGTCGGAGGGGCTGCCTATGGCAGGGGCTGGAGGAGATGTCCACCCTCCAGGAGCTCGCGGCCTAGTCGGGCTGGGGCCCTGGGGAATCATCCATCTAGACGCGGAAGGTCCTCAGAGGCCACATAGGCCAGCCCTGCCATTTTACAGATGGGGAAACTGAGGCCCAGGGAAGGGAGTGTCACTGACTTGGGAGTGAATGTTCTTCACCGCCCTCCCCATGCCCCCACCATCTGCCTCCCGCCCCCAATGATGACAATCCTCCTGGGCATAGAGTCAGGGCCTGCACCTGAGGCCACACTTCCTGCGCCAGGGCCCTGGCTGATCTCTTCTCTGGGGGGAGGGGCCAGGCCGATCTCTTCTATGGGGCAGGGGCCAGGCTGATCTTTTCTCTGGGGGGAGGGGCCAGGCTGATCCCCCTGCAGTTTGTGGAACTGTACATCCATGACGAGAAGCGTCAGCAGCTGAAGGTGAAGCTGTGGTCGGGCCGCACCTTCTACCTGCAGCTGAGGGCCCGGGCCTCCGAAGACCAGGAGTTTGGCCGCTGGGTTCGGCTGCTCTATCGCCTTCGCTTCCACTCGGACACGAAAGTGCCCTTCACCCAGTCCCCGGAGCCCAAGGAAGAGGAGAAGGTGAGCCTGGCGTGGGCTGTGGGGCACCCGGGCGCTCCCGGGCCCCGCCACCCGCAGACCCTCACCCCCTCCTCCTCTGTGTTTCCTAGTGAAGGCCGAGAGACGCCCCCCATTCTGTGGAGACTCGATGTGAGATGCTGCTGCCGCTGTTACTGCCACCTCCCACGTGGAGCTCGTCTGCCCCCGTGCTCCCCCAGCTCCAAAGACATCAGCCCACAGCCAGGCCAGGACACACGCACATACCACCCTTCCTCCCTCCCCTGGACACCGAAGAACCGGAGAGAGAACTCTCTTCCTGGACAGAGGCAAACAGAACACCAAGTCTAATAAAGATTCTGTATGTCAGAGCCAAGGGCTGTGCACACACTTAGCCGAGCACCAGGCCAAACGTGGCTTCTCCCCAAGGCCATCGTGCCCTCTGACCCCACAACACCCTGGGGGCCGGGATGGAGATGCAGCAGCACCAGTTGGAAGTCTGGAATCCCTCTTCCC